GAAACTTGGATATTTGATGCTCTCACTAATCATAGCAGAAATGTATGCTCACTTAACAGTTCCAGAATTTTTCATTTCCATGTGACTGGGAGAAGAAATTAAAGTTGCGATATTGTAAACAGAAAAGATTTGGGCCCAAATGCTCCACTCACTATAGAGCCCAACAAAGTTGCTACTGTGGTGCTGCTGTGGTGTTGCTACAGAAATGAAACAACCAATAACATGAAATATTATGAAATACTATGTTGCTATGGAAACAACAAACATACTTGCACTTATAAAAATAACTGCCAGAACTGCAGTAGAGTGGTGAGATGCAGGAGTTCTATTTTCTCGTCAAAGTATCTATGTTATGTTTAATAAAGTTTATATTTTTGTAAACAACTCCTTGCCTCACTATTAAACTACCACATTGGTGACCGACTCTGGATAAGTACATTTTTCTGATCGTTTTGTGGGATTTGGATAAAATACAAAAACAGAACTAACTATACATCATAAACAATGGATGAAATATCAGCAGTAAAAATACCTCCTTTCATTCTTTCTGATCTGTCTCTGGTTCACAATCATGGAATCTGCTTTTGAGCTAGTGATTCCAAAGGACATTTAATCAAACTGCAACTATAACAGAATCCAGAATTAAGTATAATCACTGTGTGGCCAACCTACGTCTCGACATCACTATGACCGTGAGGCATATTATTTCTCCTGATACATCAGATCCACATGGGAAATTAAAAAATGAAGTCATTGCTCGCTGTGGTTAAAGTATAATGCAGGAAATACATCATTTACTTGCTGGCGAACAATTAGGAGATTGAAAGCCATTTGAACTCTTACACATTATACAGCAAAGTGCGGAAACTCGTAATATGGTGGACACTCTTGTTTTGGAATTATTTCTACAACAGCTACCTACGAATGTGCAGTCTATTTTAGCATCAATCACCCCTCTAACTACACAAAACACTCCTGAAATAGTGGATAAAATAACGGAAGTATCACCTACTTATGTAAGCCTAGTTCTGATTCTGGTGTATCACTTAGTCTTACACCGAACTCTGAACTGCTTAAAGAGATAAAATGGCTTTGTAAGGAAGTTTCATTTCTATGGTGTTCGAGAAGTAATTCTCGTAATCGTAATTTTAGTCACGTGAGAAAGTGAGAAATCCTCTGAAAAAAGTGATTTATGTTGGTAAACTGAGGGAAAAAAATAAATAAAATAAAGGGGACATTTCTATATCTCCCGTTCTACTCGGCCGATTGACGAAATTCAAATTGCGTTTTTCATATCTCGAAAGCGCGACTTAGGATACATATTAGATTTATATACAGCTTTATTCTACCATAGGTATTTTGACACAAAATGGGACTTTTTCCGAAATAACATACCATTTTTTTTTCCATATTTCCATTCTACAACTCAAATTATGCCAAACTACCAAGTTTTGTAAAAATCGCACAAGTAATTTTTAAAATATTAGCTCCTCAATGTTAATTGAGTTTGGTATATATTTATTAATCTCTCTTTTTTTTATTAAACTCATTTGATTCTTCCCTTCACATTTCGAAATTCAGGTTCATATATCTATTAGATATATTCACGATATATATTAGATTCAGATATAGCATTGTTTTACCATAGGTATTTTGACACTAACTAGGACTTTTTCTGAAATAACATAGCAATTTGTTTTCCATATTTCGATTCTATGAGTCAAATTATGCCTAAATATTAAATTCTGTAAAATTTGGTGCGATATTTAGTGAGAAATTTAAAAATTAAATTTGCTGCATCATTTTAAGTTTGCGCGAAGAATAATTCACTTAGCAAACTTCTTAATACATGGCAACCTATTTTCCTTTCTTTTCCATTGTGCAGGACCGGAAAAAAGTCAGTGTTCCTAGTTTTTTACATTGTGAATGAGCAGAAAAAAGTCCCATTGTTTCTACTTTCAAATAATTTTAACAAAGTGCCTAAACCACATTTGATGTTATTATCGCTTTCAACAAACACACCAAATTTCAAAAATGCACCAATATATAAATTGACGTATATCTTCAGAAATTTTGAATAAAAAACTAATTTTTTGCAAGAATGCTTAGAAATAGATCTACTTTAAGATGATGGTAAAAATTTTATAGAACAATTCAAAATTTTTCTGAAAAATTTATAAAAATTATTTAAAAATACAAATTTTAAAAACAAATCATAAAAAATAGGCAAATTTTATTTGGAATGAACCTGAATTTTGAAATATCAAAGGAAGAATCAAGTTTAATAAAAAAGAGATTTTAATAAATATATATACAATTAACATTGAGGAGCTAAAATTTTGAACACCAATTTTTAAAAACTACACATGCGATTTTTACAAAAATTTGGCATAATTTGAGTCCTAGAATCGAAATATGGAAAAACGTTCACATGCCATTTCAGAAAAAGTCCGATTTTGTTTCAAAATACCTATATTAGAAGAATGCTATATATAAATCTAACACTGCACCTAAGACATGCTTTTGAGACATGAAAAACGCAAGTTGAATTTCGTCAATCAGCCCAATAGAACGGGAGATATAGAACTGTCCCCCCTTTTTTTGTGTGGTGTACCACTGAAAATTTCCTTCTAAGGCCAATGAATGTACTCTATCCTGCAATTTTTGGGGAAATTTCCAAGGCAAGGAGTAGCAGCGATATACACCTCACCTTGTAATTCTCGTCGCCTATTTCTTCATGATCACAAAACCAATATTAACTTTTTAATCGATACAGGTAGTGATTGTTTCTTAATTTCTTCTTCAAGATCCGATAAAATGACTACTCTTATTCAAACCTTTCTAGCAGCAAATGCTACTAAGATGAGTTTAGATAAATAAAAGTTATTACCTTTAGATTTAATTTAAGAAAACAGTTTATCCTTTTTATGTATGTAATGTTCAAACTGCTATAATTGGTGCAGATTTCTTACATTATTTTAACCACTAACCAGATCTTAGAACCCATCACTTAAGCAGCACTTGCAACAAATTAAATTCTCATGGTATTTTGCATGTTGCTAGTATACATTCTGTTAAATCTGTATTTTGTAATAACAATTATTCTAAGTTGTTAAATGACTTTCCTCGCATTATTCAAGCTCCAAGTTCAAACCAAATTGTCAAACATTCAGTTCAGCATCATACTGAAAATTTTGCCCCCCCCCCCATTTTTGCCAAATCACGTTGGCTTGCACTTGATCATTTGAAAATTGCAAGAAAGGAATTTCAGCATATGTTGGATTTAGGCCACATTCACCCATCCAACAGCAATTACGCTTTGCCACTTCATATGGGGGAAAAGATATAAATCATGGGTGTTCTGTCAGTGATTTTAAAAGCGCTTTAATGCTCCGACCAAAAATGACAAGGATCCGGTCCCTACTATTATTGATTTTACTAACGAACTCCATGGGTGCAACATATTGTCCCATGTAGATTTAGTCAAAGCATTTCATCAAATTCTGATTGCTCCCGAGTATGTCCATAAAACTGCTATCTGTACACCATTTTGGCTTTTCAAGAGCACTCGTATGCAGTTTGGCTTTTGCAATGCATCCAGCACTTTTCAAAGGTTTATCGATGAGCTGATGAGAGGTTTCAATGGTGTATATGCATTTATTGATGATATTTTGATTTTTTACATATAGGAATCAATTACAGTATAAATTAGTCATACAAGGGGCAGACCAAAATATCGCCACCATCGCCAGGTTGGTGATACTTCACCAAAGCAATGTACTTAATATTAGACATGCCCTCTCATAAGCTTATTTTCCCAGCTGTTTCTTTTCTTTCAAGCATTTCATATTATTTCTCACATAATTTCACTAAAATAATTTACATATGTACAAAATTCATAACTCCTTCCAATTATCTTTCATTACTTCCAGTAAATCATTCATTATTAGCTCTATAAAGATGATGACATGCATAAAAATTAACTGAGGGCTTATTGCACTATTTTGAAAAATGGCACACAGGGCTTCAATATCTCTTCTGTACAGCTTGCTTAGTCAGAAAACCAGTTTCAGATATGAAGGTCTATGCACTCCTCCCACACAATGCTACCCACAGCATCAAACCTTCACTGCCATATTGATCGCTTTCTCGGATACTGGAGGACAATGGTTGGTAGTCCTGGCTCTTATTAGATCAAGTTATGTCATGATTCAGTGGTTAGGCTGAAGCAGAACTCAGTTGTGAAGAGAATGGTCTCCCACAGCATCTTGGTCGAAAAGCTGATGTTCTCTGCACCATGCTAAACAAACACTTCTGATCGTAGAAATGAGGGAGCCACCAACAACAGGTCTTATGAACAGATCTCTCTCATACTGCTGTCTGGAAACAGTAACTCTTAAAATCTCAGCTATTTGCAGCTGCATCAAGATCATGAGAGTAGAAAAGTTATAGCACCCCTGTATGCCTTTGCATTAATGGATGACTGTTGATCTTGATTGCTCATCCTGGCTTTTTGATGATCTCACCTAGGCTTTCTCTGTATAAATCTGATGTCCTTAAACTGTTCCCATAAGCTGTACACAACTATGGGCATTACATTAAAGTATCTAGCAACCTGCAATTGAGGTTGCCCTGTTTCCAATATCCTAACTATTAGCCACCTCATTTCCCCATCTAAATGTTAGAGATTATTTATTTTAGCTGTATGCTTTTGAATTTCACCAGATGTCCCCTGTACCCCCAAAAAATCACAATGGAAGTTGGCAGGGAAAGTGCATAATTGAAGCACAAGAAATGGTTTTCTAATAAATATTTTTCTAAATTGCACATTCAACACTATTATATATATACAAATGCATTTTTATCAATATGCAAGTAATTTAAATTACTCAGACTGTTGAAATACATTACAAAATGACCATTCAATAATGTATTGCATTAAAGTTCAAAGAAGGATAAAGCTGATACCAAAAACATAGAACTATAAAAATGGCTACAGATTCATGACCTAAAATTAATTTATTAAAGAAAAATACAGTTACAAATGACCTTTAGTGAGGTAAAATATTATTTAGCAGCTGTTTATTATGAGTTGTGAAACATGGTTTATTATTCAGATTCAGTGGAATCTACAGAAGCACCAGCGCCTGCCTGAAATGTAAAAAATATTATGTAAATCTTAAAAGCAAATAATTCTTCAAACTATTTTTGTTTTCATTTTAAAATTGACTTAATACAAGATTAATAAAATTGCTTTGGAAAAAATAATAAAACTTTCAAACCAAGTTTCCCCCTCCCTTTTTTGGGGTGTGGTGGTAGTTGAAAAATTTTTATTATTATATTGCCTATATTTAAAATATTATATTATTAAGAAAGTACAAGACGCATATTTTCACTAGAGGATATTAATTCATATATGTTATATGAATGTCAGATATAATAATTACAATTAGAAGCAATTACTTAAAATTCCATTAGTTTACATAATTCTGCTAGTCATGAACAATCAGCTTTTATAAATAAGCATGTAATTCACACTCCAATCAATGACGTCTTCTGTGAATGAACATGCAGAAATGTAAAATCTTGTAGTATGGTAAGTTAATGAAAGCTATATTAGTTTGTGATATTGCTCCAGACATTGTTTGCCAAATAATCATAATTGCCAGGGAAGTCAAGTGATACAAAACAGATATTTTAGCTGAGGTTACACTAGTTTTTAGCAAGCATTTTTAATAAAATCTGCTCTTGGCTCTGATTTGCTATCTTTGCTTGCTTGTTATATTACGTAGCTATAAGTGTTCCGTGTTTTTGATTCTATGAAATTTAGCTATCCAGTTCTTCCATAACTCACATAAACCTAATTCCAAATTTTATTTCACTTGCACACATTTTTGATCAGCCGGAATAACTACTCATAGTCATAACAACACAAGTGACTCTAAACCAGGGGTTCCCAACATGGTCAGTATTGAGCCCTAGGGTAATGAAATTGTAAAGAGGGTCAGTACGGGTCACGGGTTCAATATCCAAACATGCACCATAAATCAATTGGTGCTATCAAAATCCCACTAATTAGAAAAAACTTTATTAATAAAATTCATGATTAACTGACTATTGATATAAAGTAAAAAGTGTAGTAAAAAAGAAACCATACAAAATAAACATGGGAAAAAAATCTAATATATTTTTTTAATATATTTATGCAGTATGTTCAATTAAAAAAGTACAATGTAGGAACACAAGAAAACACTGCTAAAAAAATATCCCCAAAGCATACAAAACTAATTACCCCCAGTAAAATCTACAGCAATTCTTTCACACATGTTGGCTATTGAAACTTAGGACAAATTCTTGTCAAATAGCAGCTATGTCATCAATATGTAAGTATGCCCTCTACATTTGACAAGAACTCTATAAGCTAACGGCTGGTCTTCCTCTCCCTTCTTGTCATAGGAGAAACCTTTGAAGCATGTAACCCCACCAACTGCAAAAACTGTTGCTCAACCAAAATGGAAAAGGATACACAGCAGAAGGGAAATTAAGTGATCACTAGAACCACAATACAACCATATCCGCAGTGTGTTTTTAGCTGTTGATTTTGTTACATGAACTTGTACATCATTATATGAAAAGTAACTCAATTTGAATAATTTCATTTTTGAATTTAAACATTAAAGTTTATGGGTTCTTAGAAATTAATGACATCACATGAAAAAGAAAATGCCAATAATATTTCTGAAGAACATTTAATGCTTAGCATGTAATCATTAAACGGAAATGCAGCAACCTTTACATCTCATTTGTGAAAAAAAATTTAACGACAATGGTAATGAGACCATCAAAATAAAAGACTCATTTAACAAGAATGCATGCAGAAACAAAAGAAAACAATTTGAAACATATTAAAAATCCCAAACATATAGTCTTAATGTGCTCAAAGAGAGGCAAATCTTGTTTGACACCACTGACATCATCACTCAGCAACAATACAGTTCAACGCTGTACAAAACAAATGTTTGAAACTATTGAACCACTGATCTCTGAACTAAGGATTAATATTATTTGTCTTACAGCTAGATGAATTGACCTTTGGAAGGAAGAGCATTTTAATAATTATGTGCATTATTATACCAATGTTATCAAAGAAATGGCAGAAGTTTTTTTTTTTTTTTTTTTTTTTTTTGTGCAAAGTCTTTCAAAACATATAGAAGAGACATACTTTATTGTTTTGAAAATATTTTTGAGCAGTATAACATTTTCCTAATGCTGCTGTAGCTTTTTGTGATGGTGTGACAATGGTAGTTCAAAAATATCAAGGCTTTCTAGCATACCTGGAAAAATAAAATGCCTAATATTTTGGACTATTCACTGTTTTCATACAGGTAACATTGAGTTGTGAAAAATATTCAGGAAGAGCTTCACATTGTTTTAAAGCTCCATATCAAATTAATAATAACTATCTTTTTTACACAACTGTATTACTACAATGATGAAAGCTACAGTTTGCTTCTTCATGTGGAGATAACTGGCTCTCCAAAGGTAACTGTTTACCGCGTTCAATACATTTTTAATACAGTGATAGAATTTTTGCTTGAAGTTGACCCTATGTCAATACAATTAAAAAAATTCAATAAATATATATTCCCCTTGCCTGATATTCTTTCATTGTTCAATGCCACTCAACTGCAAGGAAAAGGCATCAATCTCATTTAAAGTTAGAATGATGATTTTTGATTCTAAAATTGATTTGTTTATATCAATACTGAATCACAAAGAAATCCCATAACTTAATGCAATTGTGCATTATTCAAAAGGACTGTATTTCCTCAGAAGCTACGTATTTATAAACCACTTGCAAAATTTAGATTTTTAATGTTCACTTCCACGACACTGAAAATTTGAAAGTGCCAGCATGGCTCATAGGACACTAAACTACAATATATTTTATCTTTATATTATGATGCATGAAGAGTTGATTATGTTGAAGGAGGATGTTAAAATACAAGACTTATTCAAAACAAATGAGTACATTAAATTCAGAAATTTAAAAGTCATATGAAAGAAATATACCCACTGTTATCAACAAAAACGTTATCAAACATCACGAAGCAACATAACTGACTTTTTCCTTTTCTTACTAGCCAATAATTTATTATGGAAAACAATAAACATGTTAAATATTTTTGAACGAGATAATTTAAGGTTTAAGAAATTTTATGACAAATATTAAAAAAAATTGCAACACTAGATTAAATTAATTAAAATCAAACTTTTGTGTACTAGAATATGTGACTTTGTTTCTGAAACTTGATATTTGTAAAACTAAAAATTGTATTACAAAATATAATAAAACATAAATCTTATAATTTTTTCAAAAACTTTTATTCATATTTTTAGTTTTAATGTTATTTTTATTTATGTGCAATTATTTCTATTATGATTATGCATATTATAGAAAAAATGTAAGGGCGTAAAAACCATTCTTGTAAAATGGATTAATGCAAGAAAACAACTAGGAATTAAGTGTCTAAAATTACATATAATGTGAATGACAGTACACATAAGAGAAAAACATGAAGACAGCTAGTTAAATGAGATAATCCCTATCACTTGCCTCCCTGGGAAACTAAAATATCGAGAGAATGGTTGTGTGCATATATCAAAATCAAATAAAAGAACAAATAAAAACTAGAAGCTATTAAAAGTTATGAAGTGCTAGGAATAAAAACTTTAAAAGAATTAGAAAAGAATATGTGGGAAAGTCCTAGGACCTCATAATGAGGTCTATGGGTTAAGTTCACCTTATAAAGCGAGCAGGTCATTAATGGAAGTTGCAAGAGGACAATATCAACACTGTTTTAAGCATGTGATCATGCTTTTGTTTAAATGAACATAGAAATTTCTAAGCAGAAAATACTTCAAAATATTTGCAGTTTACAAACTTTAAACGAAAGGCCATGATTTGTCCAAGGATACTGGCAATTACTGACATACAGTGGCAGAAAAGACTTTTGATAACTGTTAATTAACTGCACAAAAAAATTAATTTAATATGAAGTCATATTTCAGATTAACTTTTGACTGCTCTAAGCACTGCTCAAAAAAAAAAAAATGGGACAGTGCTATATCTCCCGTTCTACTGGGGCGATTCACGAAATTCAAATTGCGTTCTTCATGTCTCGAAAGCCCGACTTAGGATATATATTAGATTTATATATAGCACTATTCTAACATAGGTATTTTGACACAAAATCGGACTTTTTCTGAAATAACATACCAATTTTTTTACATATTTCGATTCTACGACTCAAATTATGCCAGAATACCAAGTTTTGTAAAAATCGTACTAGTAGTTTTTAAAATATTAGCTCTCAAAATTTTAGCTCCTCAATGTTAATTGAATTTGGCATATATTTATTAATATCTCTTTTTTTATTAAACTTTTTTGATTTTTTCCTTTCACATTTCGAAATTTAGGTTCATTCCAAATAAAATTTACCCATTTTTGTGTTTTATTTTTTAAATTTCTATTTTTAAATAATTTTTATAAATTTTTCAAAAAAAAATTTTTACCATCATCTTAAAGTAGGTGTATTTTTAAGCATATCTGCAAAAAATTAGACTTTTTTATTCAAAATTTTCTAAGATATACACGAATTTACATATTTTCGCGTTTTGAAATTTGGCATCTTTTTTTTTTGAGCGATAATAACGCCAAATGTGGTCTATGGATTTTTGTTACAGTGAATTGCCACAGCTATTTTTAACCTTAAATTTCAAGTAAAATTTTACGGAGAATTAATTATATGACATTTTTTCCCTCAATGATGCGTAATAAATATTTATTAATACTATATGAAAAGCTATTTTTTTTTTTGATTTTTAAATTTTCAAATTTTTTTTTTTTTTTTTTTTTTAATAAGAGTAAATTTTAAGAGTAAATTTTTACCTTCGGCGTTTTTTTTTTTTTTATCGTCTGCTACTTTACTTCGTTTAAATCGAATTGTCTAAAACTGAGAATTTTCGTTTGATGTTTATTTGAATTTTATGACATTAACTGCATAATTTATTTCTAAACAAACTGTTGCTTTTGAAGTGGCTGAAAGAGCGGCTGATACTATCATCCATATTTTTAAAGCACAGTATAT